CGCCCGCCTCCCGCCTCGGTCTGGCGCGGGGCAAGGCCGCACCCGCCGTAGCTGCAGACAAAGCGCGAGGCGCTCGCAGGCTGCCCGACGGCCGGAGCGTTGGGGACCCGGGACTCCTACGTACCTGGGAACTTCTCGCCCCGCGGAGGCTTCGGGTGCGCTGGCCACCGCCCGAGCGACACGGCGACTAGGCCCTGCCGCCGCCGCCGCCGCCACCACTGCCGCCGCCTTCGCCTCGCGCTCCCCAACCCGGAAGTACTCAGACCTGTTTCCGGAGCCCTCCGCCCCGCCCGCCCGTTGGCACAAACCACTGCGACCACGGCGGGGAGGAAGCCGTGGCAGGGGCTGGGGAACGACCCTCCCACCTCCAAAACACTCCAGTGCAGGACTGGGCAATGCAGGAATTCTTCCAAGGGAGATCACTGTTTTGGAATAATTGCTGTTAACTCCTCGCTACTGTGCGGGCCCAACATGCATCGCCTCCCGAGCAGGTGGTGCAGCCCAAAACCCGCCCACCGCCTAGAGAGAACGCCTGCAGCCTGAGGCCCAGGAAACTACGCTCCAGCCCGCCCGCCTCTCCGGCCCCGCCCCCGCCCGCCCGCCCGCCGCCGGCCACGCCCTCGCGCTGAGCCCGCTCGGGCTTTCCATTTCAGCTCCCACGAGGCAGAGGCCGCAATGTGTGTGTGTTGAGCTAAGTCCCCGGCGGGCAGCTTTGTTTCCTGCACGGGGCGTGCACAGAGCCAAGATGGACATTGTGTGCGGGCCCTTTGAAGGCTGGGACGCGGCAGAGAACGAGCCCGAGTCCCGGTCCCCTCAGCCCAGCGCAGCGAGAAAGAAACAATAAACCGTGAACACTGTGGAGATCTCAGCTGCCTGTAATCCCAGCCTTCGGGAGGCTGAGGTAGGAGGATCAACAAGAGTTCCAGACCAGACAGAGCTATATATTAAATTTAAGGCCACCCTAAACTTACAATAGTGAGACCCAAACGTAAAAATACTTTAAAAAATCAACAATGTGGGCCAGGCATGGTGACGCACGCCTGTAATTCCAGCAGTCAGGAGGCTGAGGCAGGATCACTGCAAGTTCGAGGCCAACCTAAACTACATAGCTAGCGAGACCCCGTCTCAAAAAAACAAAAACAAAAGCTGGGCATGGGGGCGCACGCCTATAATTCCAGCACTACTAAGGCCGAAGCAGGAGGATCACTGCAAGTTCGAGACCAGCCTGGGCTACAAAGTGAGCTCAAGGCCAGCCTGAACTGCATAGTAAGACCCTGTCTCAACCCCCCACCACCACGAACCAAAACACGTTTGGGGGGGTGGGGAAATCAATGTGACATGGGAGAAGGCAAACATGGGCTGGGGTAGGGCTGCAGCTCAGTAATCTTCCACTTGCTGGCATGGGCAAAGCCTTGGGTTCCACCCCAGCACCAAAACCAAAAAGTGAGTAGAGCCGGGCGTGGTGGCGCACGCCTGTAATCCCAGCACTCGGGAGGCTGAGGCAGGAGATTCGTTGCAAGTTCGAGACCAGCCTGGGCTACAAAGTGAGCTCAAGGCCAGCCTGAACTGCATAGCGAGACCCTCTCTCAAAAAAAAAAGTGAGTGGTCAGGGTCAGGAACCTGAGTACTGTGCGGCGTTGATGAATTGCTGAGGAGGAAGTGAGGAGGAGGCAGCTGGGGCAGGGGTCCTGCAGGGCTGGCGCTGGTGCAACAGACCCCTTGTGTATGTAGCAGCCAGGCCAGGGGAGCACTGTGGCCTGCATGGTAGATGTGGAAGACAGCGGCAGGACATGATGAGTGGCTGGATGTGGGTGCCAGGGAAGATAAAGGACAGAAATGACAGAATGGGAAAAGGAGGGGAATGGCTGTGTATGTGTGAGCCCCAAGGACTAGACAGGCTAGAGGAGGTATTCAGGGGCAGGGATGGGATCAGCTCCTGAATCCCATACCTGGGTTGAAGAGGTCTGGGATCTTCAAAGGAGACCAAAAGGAACTGGAGCGGGGCACAAAGAGGGGCTGGAAAAGAACAGGGACAGGAGAATAGGAGAGTTGCTGTTGGAAACCAAAGAAGCAAGTGCACCCAGTGGGAGAGTAAGCTGGGGTCTGCTGGGGCCCTAGATAGTCCCCCCACTGGCCCTAGGGGAGTGTAGAGAGAATGGGAAGCCTGAGTAGATGCTGGGGCAGCCATAGCATTTTCCTGGAAAGGGAAGGGAAAGTGGCAGAACCACAGAACAAGCCAGTCCAGAGTGCTGTTTCTTCTGATTGTGATGGGAGAAACATCAGAAAGAAAGGATGGTCCCAGACAGGGTGACTCTGGAGCACGTCCCCTCCTCTCCATGAGCCAGACAGCAGGATCTGGATGGCGTCAGTGGCTCTGGCATCACCCAGGCACCCTGGGTGGCAGTTGTATGGCCTGGATGAGTTCTTTGCCCTCACTGGGCGTCAGTGTCCTTGGCTGCAAAGTACTGATGCTAACCTACCTCTTGGGTCATGGTGAGGACTGAGTGGGGGAGGACAGCATGGTCCTGTGGGGCCCAGCGGAGTGGTAAAGAGGGGCTGTGGTGCCACCCCTAACCTGCACTACACACCTGTTCCTCTTCTCTGCTTGGAGCACGGCAGAGGCACAGGTTCCGGCCTGCTGGGGACCGTTAAACACAGGGGCACCTGCAGGCGCATGCAGTGGCTCCTGAGGAGGAAGTCCAACAGCCTATGGTCAGTGTGACCAGGCTGTCCCACCCACCCCCACAGCTTCCCCAGGGGCACTGCTGGAGGAGGTGTTAGGATGCAAAGGGCACCTCCTCGAGAAACACCTTCAGGCAGTTCACAGTTTACCCACGGCTTGGGTGTGCAAAATGATCCCAAAGAGTTGCCTAGGGTCCGACTGAGCCTACCCTAGCACAGGTAGTGTAGACACATCTATACCTCTTGTCATCTCACCATGCTGACATGACCCCTTGCTTGCTTATAAATGTGCAGCCCACGTGGCCTCACACACCAGCGGGCTCTCACAGGTCCCACATATAACCCCCCATCTGCACTATCACCTTCCATGCACCCTGACAGGTGCCCCAACAGCCCCTTGCACACTGCTGCCAGGGCATGAGCGCGCACCCACGCACCTCCCACTCAGCCCTGCACCTCCCCCCGGGGGCCCTCCTGGGCCTCTGGTCTGTGCCGCACGTGCTGCTCCTGCCTCAAACAGGCACAGACAGGGACAGATGTGGTGCACGCCTGGCATGTACTGCAGGGTAGAGCTGCCTCCACCCAGCCCCTCCCCCATACGCACACAGTCCCCTGTCCCCCATCCCTAGGCGGGAACCAGGAGCCAAGAACCAGGGGGATGATGGAGGAGATGGGCTGAAGCATGGGCAGGGGAAGAGGTGAGCATGGTGAGAACAGGGCAGTTGAAGCTCACAGAGCTGGAGGAGAGGACAGGCCAGCCAAACTGATCTCTCAGACCAGGGAAGGCAGGTACAGTGTATGAGTGTCCTTTGATCACAAAAGGGGTATAGCTTAAGACAAAGTTATTCTCACCATTCTGGGGGCCAGAAGTCTGTGAGCAAGGCTGGCAGGGCCACACTCCCAGAGTCCCTGGGGAGAATGCCAGGCATTCCTTGGCTTTTGACCACAGCACTGTGATCTCTGCCTCTGTTTTCTCATGGCCTTCCCTCTGTGTTTGTCTCTCTTCTGTTACTTACTGAGATCTTTCACAAAATCATCTGCAAAGACACTTTTTCCCAATAAGGTCACATTGACAGATCCTAGATGTGAGGATACGGACATATCTTTGTGGTTTTGTTTTGTTTTTGGTACCAGGAGTCAAACTCATGACCTCATGCTTGCCAGGCAGGTGCTGTGCCACCCCCGCTGGCTCTGTATGTACATATCTTTGAGAGGCAACATTCAACCCACTACAGAGAGTGAGAAGGGCTACATTAGCAAACTCAGGGAGCAGGTAGGGGTAATGCCAGCAGGGAAAGCAGGAACTCAGCCTCTCCCTGTCTGCTGATCCCTGACTTCTTCCTACTGAGCCTGTGCCCTGACCTCAAGGTGTGGGCCTTCCCCGGGATCCCAACAATCCCAATCGATGCCTTTGAGACCTATATGAATGGGTGGTACACAGTTGTAATCCTGGCTTTCTGGGAGGCTGAGGCAGGATGACTGCAAGTTTGAGCCTAGCTTGGGCAATTTAGTGACTTAGTAAGACCCTGTCTCAATTAAAAAATTTAAAAAAGGGCTAGGGCCCAACATGGTGGCACACATCTGTAATGCCAGCACTCTGGAGACTGAGGCAGGAGGATCACTAGGAGTTCAAGGCCAGCCTGGATTATATAGTAATTTCAAGGGCAGCCTGAACTACATAGTAAGACCCTGTCTCAAAAGAAACAAAAACAAACACCAAATACAAATTCTGTATGATGAATGTGATCATTATGTATGTCTAAAATATACCAATAAAATCTGATTGGAAAAATAAAGAAAGAAAGAAAAAAAGAGAGAAAATAAGGCCTAAGTCCAGTCCAATCCCCAGTGACACATGCGACCAAGACCTTGCTAAGCCCTGAGGTTCTCATTGCCAGGGGCACTGAGATGGCCCCCACCTCCTCTGCGCTCCTTCTCCAGCTACAGATGGCTGCACTCCTCAACACCTGCACTTCGTCCCCAGGCTCCAGGTTCCTCAGGTCACATGTCTTCCTGGGGCCCTAGAACTCAGCTGCTTGGCTGTTTGGGGTACCTGGCAGGCTCCAGCCCAGCCTGTGTGGATGCTAGATGCAGGGAGGCCGGGGATAGGGAGGACAGGGATTAGGAACACAGCCAAGGAGCACAGCCCAGGGCAGCGGCTGAGGGTGAGGTGGCCAGGAGGCTGCTGGGGCAGAGGGGATCTTTGGAGATGCCTGCAGCAGACTGAGGTGCCCCAGTGGCGGGAGCGGGGTAGGGGCAGGGTCTGGTTGGTGCGAGGGAAGCACAAAGAACTATGACAACTTCTACTTAAGGAGCGCAGGCACTCTCCTGCCCGCTCAGGGGCCCACGCCCCTTGATGTGGGCCACGTGGGCCAGGAGGGGCCGGGAGTCGGACCGCTGTCTGTGGCGCTGGTCCGGTTTGCCAAGGAGGGCGACAGTCTGCTCCCTAGAGTGAGCATTTCGAGGGCTCCGCACGACAGGAACGAGCCCGGAGCGGCGCGGCGGGGCGAGACTCGGCGCCCCCCGCTCCGGCTTGGGCTTCGGAGGCACGCGGCGCGGAC